AAATTGAGTTTATTGGTACATTTTGGGGCTACAGTACAGTTACATTTATTGTTGGGATCTTCTACCTTTACATGACAGGTCTTGGTTCTCAGTTTTTCCCCTTGTCCCTGCCCTCCCTTCATCCCCTCCTGTTCTCCCCATTTACAAACACTTTATTTCCATCTTTTCATTTTCTCACGTTTTTCTTTTCCCTTATTACCCTTTCCCTACCCATCCCACCTTCCCTACACCTTTAGCCCTTTTCTTCCCATTTCACAATGCCAGTTATCTCATTAGGATCTTATGTACTAATACAGTTTATTCACACCAGAGAAACTATTCAGTATTTACACGTGACTTATTTATTTCACTTAGGAATATATCCTCAATATGTATCCATTTTCCTATGAATGAAAGAATGAATCTTTTCTCATTCTTTATGGCTGAGTAATATTCCATTTTATAGAAAACCCACATCTTCTTTATCAGTAATAATAATAATAGCCAAAAGTTAGAAACGACCTATAGTTTCACATGTTGGTGCACACCTGTAATTGTGCACTTGAAAGCAGGACTTCTGTAAGTTTGAGGCCAGCCTGGGCTACACAGTGAGTTCAAGGCCAGCTTGGACTACATAGTGAAACTCCAAAACAAAACAAAAACTTAAAAACAAAAGCAAATCTAAATGCTAATCAACTGGTAAATGGATAGACAAACAGTGACATATGCGCACCTATGTTTATAGCGGCATAGTTTGTAATAGCTAAAACATGGAAACAGCCCATTTGCCCATCAGTTGGAAACTGGATAAAGAAGATGTTTTTCTATAAAATGGAATACTACTCAGCCATAAAGAATAAGAAATTAGAGTCATTCATAGGAAAATGGATACATTTTGAGGATATACTCCTAAGTGAAATAAATAAGTCACACATGTGTAAATACCGAATAGTTTCTCTGGTGTGAAAAACTATAATAGTACACAAGATCCTAATGGGATAATTAACAATATGAAATAGGAAGAAAAGGGCTAAAGGTGTAGCGAAAGTGGGAAGGGTAGGGGAAAGGGAATAAGAGAAAAGAAAAAATATGAGAAAATGAAAAAATGGAAATAAAGTGTTTGTAAATAGTTCTCAGTTTTTCCCCTTGTCCCTGCCCTCCCTTCATCCCCTCCTGTTCTCCCCATTTACAAACACTTTATTTCCATCTTTTCATTTTCTCACGTTTTTCTTTTCCCTTATTACCCTTTCCCTACCCATCCCACCTTCCCTACACCTTTAGCCCTTTTCTTCCCATTTCACAATGCCAGTTATCTCATTAGGATCTTATGTACTAATACAGTTTATTCACACCAGAGAAACTATTCAGTATTTACACGTGACTTATTTATTTCACTTAGGAATATATCCTCAATATGTATCCATTTTCCTATGAATGAATCTAATTTCTCATTCTTTATGGCTGAGTAATATTCCATTTTATAGAAAACCCACATCTTCTTTATCAGTAATAATAATAATAGCCAAAAGTTAGAAACGACCTATAGTTTCACATGTTGGTGCACACCTGTAATTGTGCACTTGAAAGCAGGACTTCTGTAAGTTTGAGGCCAGCCTGGGCTACACAGTGAGTTCAAGGCCAGCTTGGACTACATAGTGAAACTCCAAAACAAAACAAAAACTTAAAAACAAAAGCAAATCTAAATGCTAATCAACTGGTAAATGGATAGACAAACAGTGACATATGCGCACCTATGTTTATAGCGGCATAGTTTGTAATAGCTAAAACATGGAAACAGCCCATTTGCCCATCAGTTGGAAACTGGATAAAGAAGATGTTTTTCTATAAAATGGAATACTACTCAGCCATAAAGAATAAGAAATTAGAGTCATTCATAGGAAAATGGATACATTTTGAGGATATACTCCTAAGTGAAATAAATAAGTCACACATGTGTAAATACCGAATAGTTTCTCTGGTGTGAAAAACTATAATAGTACACAAGATCCTAATGGGATAATTAACAATATGAAATAGGAAGAAAAGGGCTAAAGGTGTAGCGAAAGTGGGAAGGGTAGGGGAAAGGGAATAAGAGAAAAGAAAAAATATGAGAAAATGAAAAAATGGAAATAAAGTGTTTGTAAATGGGGAGGGTAGAAGGGGGTGAAGGGAGGGTAGGGACAAGGGGGAAAAATGAGAACCAAGACCTGTCATATAAAGGTACAAGATCCCAGTAACGAATGTAACCGTACTGTCTACCTAGGATGTACCAATAAACTCAATGAAAAGAAAAAAAATGGATAGACAAAATGTGGTATATCCACACAATAGAATGCTACCCAACAATACAAAGGGATAAACTACTCTGGTCATCTATGTCATTTCTTAGATGAACCTCAAAAATACGTAAAATGAAAAAAGCCAAACATAACAAACCATGTATCTTATTATTTTATTTATATAAAATTTTCAAAAAAGCCAAATTAACACAAATAAAAGTAAATTAGTAGTTGCCTAGGAATGGGGCCTATCTGTGAGTATTATGAGAGTTCTTAACTGGGGGATGAAATATTCTAAAAACTGATGGTAGTTTGTAAAACTTGTCAAATCTACAAAAAAATAACAAATTGTATTTACATGGCTAAATTTTATGATATACCAAAATAAAGTCATATAAAATTATCATGTGCACAAAAGACTGTTTTACAAGTCACAAAGACATGCAGTAAACTTAGCAGAATGGTTGCCTACCAGTTTGTTCAAATAAAGGGAAGGGCAATGGGAGTGGGGAGAGGGGATGTAGGGAATTTGTAACTTATTAAATTATTCTAGACAAGGAAGAATTTGAATGGAACAATGCATTTGTGTGTATAAATGTAAGAGGACGATCAGGTCAATTCTCTGCAAATGAGATTTTAAACAAAAATAAAAGACAAGAAATATTTTTATAAAAAGAAAAAGAAATAATAACTCCACTTCCTATTTCTATAGACACTAAACAATATAATATAGAAAAAGTTTAGGAAACCTAAATTCGTTGTGATTATGCTACTTAATGCATTTAAAATGCAGCACCATGGTCAATACTCCCAAACTCACTAAGTTCTAAAGGAGGAGAGAGGATGTACAGGTAGAAAGGACAAGAATTCTCTGAATGATGTAGGCTACGCTACCTTACTGCTTCAGTGCACTGTCGGATATCTATGATATTCTGATTAATTATGGAAATACACAACACCAGAAAGAAGTGATAAAGAAATATCGATCTTTAACATTAGAAAAACACTTTTCGGCAAAGTACTTACCATAGGAACATTAGACTATGAGAAGCTCTGCCTAACAAGGCTCTTAGTCAAATGCTGGGAGACACTGTACAAGTATCCCCCACTAATATACAGTACTTGACAATGTATTAGCATGCTTAAGTTCCAAAAACAGTCTCCAAACTTTAAAAAATCACTTTTGAAAATGATTAAGCAGATGTTATTTGTTCGTAAATTCATCTAACAAGTAACTACTGAACACCTTTCACAGGCCAGGCCTGATCCTAAGTGCTAGGATTTTTAGCGGCAAAGAAAACGGATTTCTTGCCCTCATGGAGATATATATGCCAAGGAGATTATTAGATATCCAATATGTGTATCTGCCATTAATTGTATGTTAAGTAATAATACTGTCAAATAAATGAGGATAAATATCAATACTGAAAGAAACAGTGAGAAAAACAAGAATGTATCTGAAAAAATGTGTTTATCCAATAGGATAGGTTAGAGGAACTTGTTTATTTTCCAAATAGATGGTAACTTAAAGATCAATGGATTATACCCAAAATAGCCACAGGGAAGGAATGTTTAAAATAATTGGATACATTAACAATGAAATATGATAGTCATACTGCATGTGGCTAATAGGACAAAAAAAACTGGCAAAACATGGATATTTATTATGCTTCCATTTGTTTCAAACAATTCTCTAGCCAGGCTTGGTGGTGTACACTGTAATCTCAATACTCTGGAGGCTGAGGTGGGAGGTTCACAAGTTCAAGTTCAGCCTGAGCAATTTACTGACTTAATGAGATCCTGTCTCAAAATAAAAAAATTTAAAAATAATCTCTAAAAAGAAACTCTTGTCTTTCGCTCAGTACTGGGGATTAAACTCGAGGCTTTTGTACTGAGGAACATCCCCAGCTCTTTTATAAATTTTAAGACAGGGTCTCACTAAGTTGCCCATGTTGGGATTGAATAGCTGATCCTCCTGCCCCAGACTGCTGGGGTTATAAAAGTTACCACCACTATACCTTTTAAACATAGATCGTTTTGTATGTATATGCAGGTAGAGATTTTCTGGAAAGACACAAGATTTCAGGGTGGGTGGACACCTCTGGGAAAACAGAATTGATAGGCAGGGAACTTTTTTACCGTTATGTAGTAATTGATTTTTTTTTTTAAAAAAGATCATATTTTTAATGAGGTGAAATAAAATTTTTAAAGTTTTTATTAGTAAATGCTTGCAGTACATAATGATTACATTCATCCAGGGTAGCTGCTGCATGTACATAACATGTCTTAATTCTTTTTCCATCCCTTTCCCCCACCTCTACCTGGGTCCAGGAAATAAGACTAATTCACTAGTATTTTCAACCAAAGCATAAGAGTTGAAGGGAGGCAAGAACAGTATGATCTTTTTTCTAGGGTTAAGAATATTTACCTGGAAAGGACCAAGTATCATTTGTACACTGATGGTTAGAAAAATACCTCAAAATAGGGAGCGTTTTAGAAACTGGGTGATGACTTAAAAAAAAAGAATTCAATGGATTTTTCTTCTTTAACAACTATATACCGATAAACCGAAAATAAGATATTAAGAGTAAAATTAAAGCAAATGAGAAAAGTGGAATAAGGATGCTCTGACATACTTACATATCATGCCTTATAATTTCAAATATCTCATGCAGCAAATAAGTATTAGTTTTTCTGATAAGAACTATTAAAAACTGATAAAAACTTAAAAAGGAAAATTACCTTTCTTATAAGATGGTTTTCAGTGTCTGCCACATATATGACATTATCCATGATGGCTACACCCTGTGGAGAGTTAAAAGTTGACTCTGAAAATAGTCCATCTTTTCTTCCAGGGTTAGGTCCTAAAAGACAAGACCACCATAAGACAAAATTTTGCCATTAAAAAATGATTTCAAATAAATAAACAAAAATTTAAAGAAATTGTATTTAATGCTGTGATTTGAAGATAACACTACACTTCTATCTAAAAACTAAAATGTTTTTCATGGTATGTATTTTTCTCAAGAGTGAGTTTTGGTAATGACAGGGATTACAGTATAAAAGATTCCACTGCATGTTAGTAGCATGTATCAGAAGAAATAATTTTCTTTAAAAAATTTTTTTTTTGAGACAGGGTCTTACTATGTAGTCCAGGATGACTCTACACTGACAAGTCCAGGCTGGCCAATCTCCAATACTGCCAAGGGATAACAAAAGCAATTCCAAGACTCCTTCGTATTTCACACTGTCATAAAATCCTATAATATCACATACACACTTGAAGAGAGATACAGTGTGATGTGTCTGATCCAATGGCCTACTTCTGCAATATATCTAGAGTTTCAAAGGTGGAAAGGAGACACAATAAATATCACTACTACTTCTGTGATATGCAAAAAAAGCTGGTCAAAGCCCCTAAGTCAACAGAAACAAACTGCTCTGCAGAACCCCATTGTTGTAGATGTCAGTCAGAATGGTACTATAATGTAGTCTCCAGAAACTGAACTCAAGAGTCCCATACTCAGTTTATGTCCCAGCTCTGGTCTGAGCAAGTTCTCACTCTTTTTTTTACCTATATAAAATGGAACTAATTATAGTATCCAACACACAGTAATATGAGAATGAAAAAGTCAATACAGATACCATGCTGGAGTATTGCCAGGCAGATCCTGTTTGTCATTACCACTGTGATCAAAAATACAATTATTGTTGCTGATATTGTAAGATTTCCTTGAAAAAAAAAAGGAGGGCACATTCTGTGGTTACTTTGGATTGGAAAATACTGGGTACAGCAGCCCTGTTTTGTACATTCATGAGGCACACTATCGGAGTAAAAGATTTGAAAAGTCCAATGATACGCTCATAAAACAACAAAAAAATCTGCTAAATCACATCAAACCAGTATTTCCTAAGTGTATATGACCAAAGAATGATTTTACACTACAAAATATCAGTATTTTTAGAAACATGTTTGAGAAATATAGTTTGATGATTTCTCTAACAGAATATTAACCTACACCGTTTTGAAAAACTATAGAATCTATTAAAAACTATTTAAATTCAAGCTACTACAAGATATTTTTTGAGTAATAATTCTTGTAACTGCCTATCATAAATGAAAATATCAAGTAGTCAAAACAAATACAAAATGTAACACATACTCTAATAAAAACAAATGAGAAACATAAATAATTCAAGAAGGAAATCCTATCTTAGCACACTAAAAATGGCATCATGACTTAGAAATATGATTGGCTCATTTGCAGTGTAAGTCAGATATCCCTACTTTATGTACAATGCTGCATATATTATTACTACAACAGACTGACTACAAAGAGATGAATTAATTTTCTCTTTGATATGTTATTACATGTCGGTTCAGCCTAGATAAGCAGGATTACTAAGAATATACTTAAGAAATCCTATTATGTATATGCAAATAATAGGCAGGTTTTGATATAAGATCAAGGAGAAATGCAATAAAATGATCTGTGCTTGCCTGATACTTCTACTTTGCTACACTCAAAGAGAATACATTCAAAAGCATGCTTAAGTTCTTAGAGAAGGAAGGAGAGAATAATAAAATTATGTACAAATCCTAGCTTAGTTGTTGTATAATCTAAATGTCAAGTTTCTGGGGCACTGTTCTGGTCTTGAAACAGATATGAATAAATCTTGCTGGAAAGTAAAATATAATACTTCCACTTAAAATGTCAGAAATCCAATATTTATTTTTTTTTATAAGACAAAATAACGGGCAATTAAAAAAAATAAAATGGATATACAAATATACTTAAGATATGTAACTTAATGATTTCCCCCTTTGACACAGTTTTCTTGGTTTTTGTTTGAGGGAGTTAGGAGAGGTTAATTTAGATATCATACGTTAAATAACAAAAAATGTAATTTTATAGTGAAGTCAATGCATGCCATCTACTAGTTCTTATTTATAAATTTCAATTTTCACGTTTTTACTTGAACTATTTTTAACTGTAAGACACACTATACATGATACTTAGAAATGATCTTTACCTCCAATACTGTATTGAATCTGTCCATTTTTCCAAATGACCAAAATCCTATGATGTCCAGTATCTGCTATTACCAGTCTATTAGTAGCATGGTCTACAGTTACTTTGCCAGGAAACAGCAGCGGTGAAGGTGGCAGAGAATCTTTGTAGAGTTTTATTCCAATTTTATTATCTCTGATCTGTCCCCTGTCTTTGTAATACTTTAAAGCTATTGAAGTATATAAAAATAATTTATCTTTGTGTCCTTCTCCAATCAAAGAAAACAACATGTTTCCACGGGGTCCAAGAATGACCAGTGTTGGCCAGCAGGACACCTCTAGCTCTTGCCAAAGACTGGCATCTGCATCATTAACCACAGGATGGGTGATATTGTATCGAAGAACAGCACTCGTAATGTTGTCCAGGACTTTTTCATTTGGAAACTTAGCCGAGTGAACACCAACAATCAGGAGACCATCTGAAAGGGGAACAGTATATATTAAATATGATGAAATATTAAATAGCATTATCCATACATTAGGTTTTGTGTCATTAATACAAATGATCTGTAAATTAAAATAAGTACATTAATGTTAACTGCATTTAAACACGTGTACAAAAATTAACAAATTTAAATCTCATGACAATCTTGATGTCTATGTAGAAACATGATCAAATTCATGGCTATTTCAGGATTAAAAACTATGTCCTTTTGTTAGATAAAGCCATTGAAAACTAGCTGTTATAGTCTAGATGCTGAAGTTTTCTTACCTAGAATAAGCCTATTTGAAATTCAGAATGACTGACTGCTTTTTTATGTAACTATTATCATTTGATAATAAATTTTTGATCTAATCTTTTTTTGCCATAATAAAGTATTGCTTGCAATTATTTTTTTCATTAATTTTATTGGTACATTTTAGGTATACAATGTGCTGACATTCATGATTGGGAATTTGTATTTTTATATAATTTGTCTTGGTTCTTATTTTTTCCCCATTCCCCTGCCCTCCCTTCCACACCTCCATACCTTCCTACTTACAAAGTCTTTGTTTCCATTTTTTTCCTTTCTCATATTTATTCCTTTCCCTTCTTTCCTTTTTCCTACCCCTTCCACTTCCCCTTCCCTTTGGACCTTTATTTCCTGTTTCACATAATCTATTATACATTATGATACATTTCTCAGATGAAGTAAAAATAGCAAATAAAAATATGAAAACATGTTCAGCATCACTGGTCATTTGAGGGATGCAAATGAAAACAATGCTGAGATTCTACCTCACTCCAGAAGGAATGCCTGCTATTAAGAAATCAACCAATAACAACTGTTAGAAGGGCTGTGGGGAAAAAAAGGAGTCCTCCACTACAGGTGGGGGTGTAGACTGGTGCAACCACTGTGGCAATCAATACGGAGAAATCTCAAACATCTAGGATTAGAAGTTCCATTTGATAGTCCCAGCTATCTTCCCAAAAGAATTGAAAGAATCATACCACAGTGATATATGTATACCCATGTTCACAGCAGCACAGTTTGTAAAAGCTAAAACTTGGGAACAGCCCAACTGCCCATCAGCTGGAGACTGATCTAATCTTACATTACAGCTTAACTGAATGAATATAAGCAAGATTTCCCATAATAAAAGGTTTTCAACTCATGTGAAACCTCTACTATGTCATTCTTAGAACAAACCTTCTGGTAAACAGAACTGCTGAAAACTAGAGAACATACTTCCTTTATCTAATCAATCCATTATTTCAAGAAGTTAGCATGGGGGGTATTTAGGCTAGATTCAAAGCAAAAACCCAGTACTAAGGTAGAAGACATAATAAACTCAAATCTCTCAACATGTCAATGAAACCCTACTCAAATTAGTACAAAGAATAAATAAAATCATCCAAACCAGACGCATCAACTCCCAGACAGCCCACTGTTCTAGTACAACTACTGACTTGAAATCAAAACACAGGCATACACATCACTGTTTGAAGACTGAGAAAAGAAAACATAGCAGGTAGATTGTAGGGGGAGGGGTCAAAACTTAAAAATCACATCATATGAGAACATTTCCAGTTTTATTCCTTCTATCCTTTCCTGACTTAGCTCTGAGAACAGATTCCCAGTTATGAAGATATACAGGTGGTTAAAACTCCAAAAGAAACTCCAAGGAACCAGGGAAGTTGGAGCATATGAGGCTAAGAGGAAAAGCAAATTAGAAAACAAGACAACCCAGACCCAGTAAAATGTAGTTAAATGCTGAGAGACCTGAGACCTGAATTACTGAGTTGATAGGAGAGGTGTTGGAAGATGAGACGGAGCTTACAATCTGAACTACCAGAGTTGATGTCTACGAACACAAAGATATCAATATTGTCCAAAGGTTTATGTCAACCTCGTCTACATAACATTCCAATGTCCAAGGTACAAACTCAAACTACTTGAAAAAAGCAAGGTAGGATGGGCATGGTGGCGCATGCTTATAGTCCCAGCACTCTGGAGACTGAGGCAGGAGGTCTGCTGTGAGGTCAGCCTGGGCTATAGAGTGAGTTCAAGGCCAGTCTGAACTACATAGCAAGACCCTATCTCTAAAATAAAAAGGCAAGGTAATGTGGCTTATTATATAAAATTCAACAGATACCAATGTCAAAATAAAGTACGTATTTAAATTAGCAAAGACTTTAAAGCAGTGATAACTGCTTCATATGTAAAAGAAAAACATACATAAAATGAGTGAAAAGATAGGAAACAGAAACTGAAACTATAAAAAATATCTAATAAAAACATTAGAACTAAAAATATCTATTGGAAATAAATTCACTGAAGTAAATATACATGTTGGAATAAATTCACTTAAAGACAAAAAAAAAAAAGACAGAGGAAAAAGTCAGTGAACCTAAAGATAGCACCACAGAAATAAGCCAATCTAACAAATGCAAAGAAAGACTGAATTAAAAAGAACAGAACAATTTCTGGAACAATCTAAATGATCTAAAGATTAACTGGAACCCTAGAGAGGAGAAAGAGATTAGGGCAGAGTAATCGTGTGAATGATGCCTAAAGTTCCAAAATGTGGTTAGAGATAACAAGTTACAGAATTCAAAGTTGGCACACACCAAGTGAGACAAATTAGAGAAAAACATGACTAGCCACATTATAAACGAACTACTGAAAACTGAAGATTATTAAATAGACACAGACATCTTGAAAGCAACTAGAGGAACAAAAAACATAGGGAAGTGTGGCTGCCTGAAAACTGGAGGTAGGAACGATAGGAAGGAGTGAGAAGGACTGTGCACTTCTGGCCATTTGCAACTTACTAAACCTGTCTATCACTTTTCTCATTTGTAAAGTGGGGAAAAACTGCCTCCTAGGTTAGGAAGATTAAGAGATAATCTGTGTAAGGCACAGAATATTTATAATAATCCTACAATATATGAATGATCTTAACTCATCTATTAAAAGAAAAAGATGATACATTCTGTATATGAGATACATCTAAAAGGGGATCTAAAAGGCTAAAAATAAAGGATAGGCAAAGGCAAGCAGGCAAATGAGCAGAAGGAAATAAAACACAGCAGACCTCCTCTCCCTCAGCTTTTCAAACTCCGGGGCCAGGTCAGCATTCAGCTCCATGACAAAGGGAACCACCTTACTCTGCTGTCACCTCATTTCATAACCTGGATGCTTACACAGGTTCCAGCTTGTGCTTCCGAATCTGCTTTGTCTCTCTTCTTCCCTACTTCATATCCATTTTTCCTCTTCAACTGCCTGAGCTGCCATCTTCAAGCAGAGGCACCAGACATAAATGCCGGCCTCACACGAGACCAGTCAGCCAGCTCCACAGGTACATGATACATAAAGTCAAATACCTATAGCAAGCCCCACATTATTTTTCATTTCTCCTATGCTTCTACTTCTCAGATCACACCTACATCCCTTTTTTGGTCTTAGCTCTGTAACGACATGTATGAATTCTTCATCTATCTAAGGTTAGCTTCCCAAGTCATCCCTAGGTGGATAAAACTCTCTCTCAATTGTGTTCAGCAGAAAAGGGCACATATATGCAGTGTTCTCTGGGTTCTTGGACAAACTGTTTTCTGCAGCCCTGGCTGATGACTGAAGGACAAATATAAGGTTTAAAATTCACGTTTATATTATGCTGGGCGTGGCAGCGCATGCCTGTAATCCTAGCACTTTCGAGGCTAAGGCAAATATGAGGCAAGCCTGGGCTACATAGCGAGACACTGTCTCAAAAAAACAAACCAACAAAAAATGTTTTATATGTGATTACTTCTATCTTGAAGAGTCGGTACATATACATAATTCCTTTTTGTTTGTCCTCTACCCTTTCCTACCCTCCCTGACCCTTCCAACTGTTGGACTCCTTTCTCATTTGCAAAAGCGCTATTTTCATTATGTTCAATTTTTTCCATCCCTTTATCTTCCCCCTTCCCTCTCTTGTTCCCCCATCCATCTGAAAATCTCCTGAATTCCTATTTTCTATCTTCTATTTTGCATCCCCATATTTATATTGTTTTTCATTTTAGAGAAACTATGTCCTATTTAAACTTGTGTGTTTGACTTATTTCACTTAACATTATGGCCTCAAGGTGCATCCATTTACCTACGAATGCCTCAGGTCCATCTTTCTTTTTTTTTTTTTAATTTTATTGAGTTTATTGGTACATTTTAGGGATACAGTACAGTTACATTCATTGTTGGGATCATGTACCTTTACATGGCAAGTCTTGATTCTCATTTTTAGGTCCATCTTTCTTTATGGCACAGTAGTACTCCATTGTGTGTACGTTCCTCTTTATTTATATGGTCTTTAAAAAGTTAAGACCAGTCTAATTTCTGCAACCTTGCAAATCATTTTTTTTTGTTGTTTGAAGATCTTGAGGATCCCCCTCCTAATCTTTAAAGTGTAATGGTTTTCCTAGGATATGTCTTGGATTGTTATGAGTCACTTCTCCCTGGTACCTGGTAAGCCAGTCAGTATGCAGGTTCAGTAGCTGCTCTCATTTCCATGAAGTTTTCTTGGATACTAATTTTAAGTATTAAACGTAGTCAATTGTTTTGTTCTTGATGGCTGCTAACAGTTTAATTCAATCATTTTCTCTTTATACATTTTTACTTCTTTAGCTTATTTTTATCTTCCAGGGTTTTTATCCCCTCTATTTCATGTCAGTGTCCCTTACTATATATTTATATGAATTCATTGTTCCTTGGGCACCTTCTAGATTAGTTTTCAAATCTAACACAAATTTGAACTTTTTTTTCTATTTCTTTCCTGAGTTTAATCAACATGTGTTCATTTTTTGTCTTTATTAGTTTTTAAATGTATGATTCAAATCGGTTTTTCATTTTTCCTAAGGACATTTAATTCAATACAAAGCTTTATGTTAGTATTTTTCAATTGTGTAATTGTTAAATTGAGAATTTTCAACAGCATTTCTAATTTGAATTGCACCTTTAGC